ACTTGAGGTGTGTGTGTGCTGTCTCGTGATCGTGGTGTTTTTCTTCTCTCCCTCACCAGGTAGAATATGGTCCATTGTGTTGGTCCGGTCCACCGTTTAAAAATGCTGAGTCGTGAGAGAGAGAGAGAGAGAGAGAGAGAGAGAGAGAGAGATCCTGGTCTTGGTGTTAGTGAGGAACCCGACGTCCTTGTCCACCGTGGGAGTGATTGCTGAGGCTGACGGGGGCTTAGATGGATGGATGGATGGATTGATTAAATGGATAGATTATTGGTATTGTAGATAGATAGGTAGATAGATATTCATTAAAAGTTCACAATACAGATAGACAGTGCAGATATCCGTGTGTGTGTGTGGGTGGGGTGTGTGGGGTGGGTGGGTGGGGTGTGGTGGTGGGTAGAAGCAGCGAATCTACCAATCCCTGAACTTTAAAAACATATAACTCCCTCATCCCTCCCCCTACCCTCCTCCCAACCCCCTCATCCCTTATCCCCTCATCCCCTGCCCCTTACACCCCCTAAAATACTGATAAAAATATATATATATATAAAAAATTAGGTGTTGGGGGGGGGGGGGTTTAGAGAGATATATATATACATAGATCTCTCTTGTAAATCTTAACTTTTTTGTTTTTTATTCAATATGTTTCAATTTAACCAGACAGACACGTGGATTTTAAAGACTGCCATAGACTCTCTGGGTACACCTGCAAGGGAATAGTCCATTATGTATACAAGGGTGGAAAGGGAGTTAAATGAGAGGGGGGGGGGCTTCAAACACTACTAACAGTATTTTAAAGCTTTAGTCGTGTGTGTGTGTGTGTGCATGGTAATAATGCATCGTTCATTCGGCCATAATTTCCACAACATGGACGTGTTCAACATTACCAATGACCGTCAATAATGTTAAAAACTTTTGTCACTAATGGTTTAAATTTTCTCTTTCCAGGACGAAGAGGAAGAAATCAAACTGGAGATAAACGTCCTTAAAAAGGTGAGGAGTGGGTAAACAATGACTGAGACCATCGAGATTTAGCTCAGGCCACCGAGGTCTAGCCCAGGCCCCCGCGGTCTAGCCCAGGCCCCCGAGGTCTAGCCCAGGCCCCCGAGGTCTAGCCCAGGCCCCCGAGGTCTAGCCCAGGCCCCCGAGGCTCCAGGCCAGCCTCCAGGCCCCCGCTGGCCCAGCCGTCCAGGCCCCCGAGGTCAGGGGGCAAGTGCAGGCCCCTCGAGGTCTGGGGTGCGCAGAGTTCCCCGGCGGCCCAGCCCAGGCCCCCCGAGGCTCAATCCAGGCCACCGAGGCTCCAGCCCAGGCCCCCTCGAGAGGTTCAGCCCAGGCCCCCGGAAACCCAGCCCAGGCCACCGGTGGCCCAGTCCAGGCCCCCGAGGCCCAGTCACAACCGGTGTCTAGTTCAGGTTTAGCCCAAAACTTTTATAGGGGTATTGTGTATATTTTACAAGTTGATATTATGAAAGTCATCCTGAGACCAATATGTATTCCTCACTTTGTTGTTATATATAGTATTGTTACATGCCATTGGAAGCCTTCTGGAAAAAAAAAAATTTACATCAGATTTGTTATTTACCTGGAGTAAAGATGGAATTTGTCTTAACTTGAGGTGCAATACAAGGGCTTGGTTCCCACGACATGTTATTTTGGTCTAGTTATTAGCTACATGTCTCCGCAAAAATTATGACAGTACTGTACACTTGCTAGTAAAAATCCCGTCGTCTCATTTATATCCTCGTGAATCCAGAGAGACCTGTTTAGGTTTCACAGGCGAGACTAGAGGACTTTTGTTGGTGAGTGTACTACATATAATCATAAAATCTTCAAAATATTGTACATATATAGGCTACAGTACTCGTCTTATTCAAATATTCCCCACTACTCTATTTCACGTTGCTTGACATAATACTCACATTGCCGTTTTGTTTCAGTTCTCTCACCACCGCAACATCGCTACATACTATGGTGCCTTCATCAAGAAATCCCCTCCTGGGAAAGATGATCAGCTGTGGCTGGTGATGGAATATTGTGGGGCAGGTTCTGTCACCGACCTCGTCAAATGTAAGCTTAACCCTGGCGGTGTTATTTATGTTCTTAGCCACTTGCTCGCCTCATCTTTCATCACCACTGCATTCATTCTCTCTCCTTTCTCATGCACACCTTTATCTTTTCTTTTTTTCTCATGAACTCTTTTTATCTTCTCTCTCTTTTGGTATCTTCTGTTTCATTAATCCTCTCCTGCTGTTATGTGAGGTGGATCATGGGGTACAATATCCATCATAGAAGTGGGGCAATGACCCAAGGGAGTCAGGTGCAAAACATAGAAGTTAGTGTACTATATTCAAGGCAGGAGCTAGGTGGTATTATATTCCCCAGTGTATTTTGTGTTTTTATTTGCCATTATCCAGACTGTCTCAAAAAAATAAAAGAAATAGAAAAATAAAGAAGAATGTATACTCACTGCCTTACAGATATTTGTAGCGATCGCTTGAATGCCCGTATTACAACGGCGACATTGTCCTTCGCTCGTGGGTGACCTCGCACATCAAGTGAGGACAATGTTCCTGTTGTAATGTAAGCAGTCATGCACTACCCATGGAAATCTGTAAGGCGGGGGTGGGGTGTGTATGCATTTTTTTTCTGAGACACTCTGTATTTAGCAACAAGACGATGTGAGGTGTTTTAGTGCATAGTATTTGTCTCTTGTTTACCCCATGTACAGTGTAGCACAACAAGAGTGGATATGATAATTGTCGTCCTTGAATTTTATTGCTATGTGCTGTAATTATTATAGTACTGTACTGTACAGGTATTACATTTATTACTACAGTAGCTATATAATCTTTAATGTGTAATGATAATGTGTTCACCTTTTTTTCCCACTCTTGTGTGTTATTTCCTGGTTTGTGTTTTATCATATTTCTCATTATTTTCACAGCCACCAAGGGCCAGAGTTTAAAAGAAGAATGGATTGCATACATTTCCCGGGAGATCCTTCGTGGTCTGTCTCATCTACATGCAAGTAAAGTCATCCATAGGGACATAAAAGGCCAAAATGTACTCCTCACAGATAATGCAGAAGTTAAATTAGGTAAGTTGTCCACGAGTTAAAGTTGACAGAGAGGGATACAGTAGTGTAGTGTGTAGTATAGTGTAGTGTAGTGTAGTGTTGTGTAGTGTAGTGGTGCCTCAGCTTCTGTAATATACTGTACTGTTATTTGTAGGTGTTGAAGCCAGACTGTTCTCCCTGTGTGTTCGTCATATAGAAGCATAAGAGCTGATGATGAGTACAATTCTGACGGTCATTTGAACTCCTGAAGGTGTTAGTTTTCTCTTGATTAAAAAAAAATAAGTAAATAGACTCCCACTTGACTCCACTTTACGGGTAGTTAGTGTGTGTGTGTAAGATATGTTAATTATCAAACACTTACATGATAAATGGTCTTAATTAAACATGATAAATGAGGATCTTAATTATTGTACAGCACAGTGTAGTTGTAAGCTGTCATTCTATCTGTCCTTAACATAAACTGATGGTACTGTGATAAAAAAAAAGCACCATTGCATTGCTTATAACTCAAATATAAAACAACATATTTACATGTACATAAAGATAAACAGTAAGGATTAACGTGAATACTGTAGTACCCGGTAAGTGTTGTATTCCACCACCTGACTGGCATGTCTGTATTGAAATGTAAATCACAAACCTCATATGGTAGAGAAATTACTCCCTTTCTTCACTAAATAATAATGAAAGTTCAGTATATTCCTTAGCTTTATTCGTTCATCTGTGTCATATCATCTTACAAAAGTGTAATAAACATTTTTGAATTTGGCACAGGTGAATGAACAACAACTTAACATTGGAGTGTATTATGTACACCCATAGTCTCCTAAAATCACTATATTCATTTCTATGTATGTAATGTGTATGACCAGGTAACAAATACAGGATATACACAATACATAATATACCTACATGTGTCTTGTGTAATTAGAATTCGTGTTTCTAATTTATTTTAACAACTGTGAATTCTGTTTTTTTTTTTCGTGATTGTAGAAAGTCTTTATCACTACTGTAGAGAGTTCACTGTCTGGTATAATCCCTTCTCTTTTTCATGTTGTTCACCCTTCAGCTGTCATCACACACACAATTGAAAAACCAAGAAACTAATAATGGACAACAAGACATAAATGGAATTGTGACTTGTTACTATAGGTCATGAGGGAGGCTCAGCTCGGCTCTTATGTCAGTGTTCTGTTGTTCTGTTTGGAAAATATATCTATATTAAGGAACTGTCAAGAGATGATGTTGTGCCTGCATGAATACTCGAGGGATTTACACGTGGGAGATGGTCACTCTTTCACTTGTTTTGTACGGAATCTCAGTGATGGGAAGTAATTGTGGATAATGTAGTGAAAGACGAGTGTAGAAAGTGATGGGAAAGGGGCAAGACAAGAAGTAGAAAATTATATCCACACTATTTTATTCACATCCTCAGCAGTCATGGGTAGTATGTACAGTTATGGGTATTATGTACAGTCATGGGCAGTATGTACAGTAATGGGCAGTATGTACAGTCATGGGCAGTATGTACAATCATGGGCAGTATGTTAACAGTGAATCCTGAGCCTCCAAGCTGTTACTCACACTTAGGAATCGGAGTTTATCTTACAGACTTACAAAACGGTACCTCCAACTTTTATGTAACTTCTCAAGTATACTGTACCTTTACATTCCTACCATTCATTAACCTTCTGTATTGCTTTACGAAGTAACTCACCCAGGCATGTGGTATAAATTTAATTCACCAAACTCTCAACACAAGTAGTGAAGGAATATAGTGAAACCTCGACATAATAGACTTTCATCTCCATATAGGCCGTTAAATATAAGTTTCACTGTCTCCTTTAATGACTTTACCTTAACCTTCAGTAATGTCCCCCAACCACCTGCCACTGTTAGGTCACGGACTGCACTCTTCTTTTGGCAGCTTTCAATACTGTCCACACAGTCTAAAAACACACATTCTTGCTACAATTTCAATTTGTTCACATTAGGTAACTTGAATTAGTGTCTCTTGCATAATTGATTTTTGTATCCGTTTTTTTTTAAGTGAAACGAGAGAATAAAAACTTTATCTTCATCGTCATAATCATCATTGTTTTCCTGCCATTGTCCACACTTCATCATTTTATTGTTTCTTTGCAGTTGATTTTGGTGTTAGTGCCCAATTGGACAGGACTATAGGAAGACGGAATACATTTATTGGTACTCCATATTGGATGGCCCCTGAAGTTATTGCCTGTGATGAAAACCCTGAAGCTACGTATGACAACCGTAGTGACCTGTGGAGTTTAGGTAAGGCACGTCATGTTCTGTCACGAAGCATGGTCAAGTTTTTGTCACGAACCATGGCCAAGGATTCTTAGTATCGGTAAACGCTGTGAAAGTAATTTAATTTCAAACTCTCACTTGCAATGACCCAATCCTGCTGATATATGTTTTTAGATTGTGAAGTTACCTTAATTTATAATGTTTACAATTGCAGTGGTCTAAGTGTGTGCTGGAATATTATGTGTAGAATAACAACATAACACAATCCATTGGCTAACTTTTTCTCTTTTAAAATATCTTATTGTTTTGAAATGAACCAAGTTTTATTGCAGTTTAAATCCTCTTTTTTTATTTTTCTTAGAACATAGATAGTAATTTACCAAAAGTTTTAAGGACACATTACAGTATGGTGATCTAATAATGAGTAGCAGAGTGTGTGTGTGTTCAGTTAGAAAGAGTGTGTGTCTGTAGGAAGCATTGGTGAAATTTAAACTTACGGTTCGTCTTCTGTTACAGGTATTACAGCTTTAGAAATGGCAGAATCCCAACCTCCACTGTGTGATATGCACCCCATGCGTGCTCTGTTCCTAATCCCTCGTAACCCTCCCCCACGTTTCAAGAATGGTAAAAAGTGGAGTAAGAAGTTCCACTCCTTCATTGACAGCGTCCTGGTCAAAGATTATCATCAGGTAAAGGACTTCTGTTTGTGTACTAGGTCATGGCTCTTCATATTAACCGTTCCTCACCATAATTAAGTTAACACTTTATCCATCCATCTCTGTCTGTTTAGGATGGCTTGTTTTCTCTACGACTGATGTAGAACTTTCCATAGATAGTACAGTCATTTTTGGATTTACAGCTGAGTGAAAATGGAAAGATGGAAAGGGAAATGGGTATATGAAAACATTGATGAGTGTTTGTCCCATAAATAATAACTGATACAGTACATTGTTTTTTGGTCCACAGAGAACGTATACAGACCAACTCTTGAAACATCCATTTATTCGGGACCAGCCTACAGAACGACAAGTACGAATTCAACTAAAGGATCACATAGACAGATGCAAGAAGCACAAGCAAAAAGGTAAAACAGTAATTTTAAAATCATAAATATTATATTATAGTCTTATAAAAGAATCATTAGCATATTTTTTGATCAGGTTATTTGGTGATAGTATTCCACCCAGTGAAGGAGAGAGATACGTAACTCAACAAGTTTTTTATGAATTTGAATAAAGTCCACGTTTTGACCTCGTGTGTCCAAAGTCTTAAACATATGTTATCACTACCATCATTCTCCTCTCGACCACATTCAAGTATTGTAATAAAAAAACAATTTAATAATGGATTAACTTACTGTAATGTTGATCTTTTGGTGTAGCTGCCATATCATCCCTCACATCCTTCATTAACCAGTGGTCATTAAACATAACCCCTTGAACCAGAGTGACACTGACCAAGATTTATATTATTGAATAGTCTTGTCTAGTCTTCTGTTTATGGTCATCCTTCATAACTTCTTCAGTACATCTCCTTAGCTCCTTACACTCTGGTCATCGTGACTTGGATAACAACAAGCAAGAGAAATCAAGTGCTGCTATTTGTAGTAGCTGCTGAGGTGATCAAAAGTGGTTGGAGATTTTAAATTATACTGTATTATGATCTTGCCTAAAGTGATTTCTTTTTGGTCCATACCTAGTGTTAAGGTCAAAGTTGACACAATAATGTTTTGGAAACCTAACCTAACCTAACCCAAGTTCACGGGTTTAAGTAAGCACAACTCTGATGTTTAAGACCATAGCCACACAGTAATCATAGGTTCCAAAAGACTATGTTAGGCTGGTTTTGAACTCCAGATGTTACAGTCATTATGAAATACTCTTGTCATTTTATCTGATTGTATTCTGTATCACAAGAGGTTGGCAGCTCATGACTTTTCCCCGTAAATGGAAACTGTATTTTGGCTGTGATTTTATAGTAGATTTTGTTTCCCTCGTATTAATGTGCACAAAATGTCACTTGCCCACTAACAGCAGACAGACAAGAGACCTTCAGCTACAGTGGCTCAGACAATGAGGAAGAAGAGACAACACAAGCTGGTGAACCCTCTTCCATCATTCAGGCTCCTGCGGGTGATACTCTTAGACGGAATTTCATGCAAATCCAGGTAAGCTTCTTGTGTGTATGTGTATGTATTCATGTGTGTATGTATGCATGTATGGGTTTGTTCTTGCATACTTCAAGGGAATCAGGAAGTTTTAGCAAGGAATTTAATTAGTAAACCAGTGGGGTAGTCAGAATTAAACCTTAATGGATGATGCCCTAGGTGAGTGCTGAGTTATCTTTCACAAATGTCAACAGAACATAATCACCCTCAGTGCTATTGGGTTTTTGTCTAGAAGAATCTTATGGGATGTGAATGAGATTGTTTTTGAACCACTGGAGTTTGTTCATGAACCATAGAGCTGCATAAGGATATGGATAGGTAGAGAAGTAGTGTAATTCGTCACTGTACTGAATTTTTAACGCCATCATCAGGAACACCAGCGAAACGGCGGAAAGAAGGATAAGGAAGAAATCCCTGAACCCGGTCCTCCGGCAAGACCGGCTCTTCCATCTCGATTGCTCGGCCAAGAGCAACCTCCTCCTCAACGCCCTCTTCCTCCTCCACCACAAGCACGAGAACACCACCAGCCAGCAGCACACAAACCAGCCACACCTCCACAGCACCATCCTAGGGACCATCGTGAACATCGTGACCACCGGGAACACAGGTCAGAGGTCATTGCCGGTTTTTGTCTTGATGGGGTCTTATAAATCAGACATAACATAATGTAGAGTGAGTTGTCCTTCAGCAAACAAATTTATATAAAACCAAGCTAGACCATCACTCCCATCGATGATTAGGACAAACAGCATAAGGGCATAAGAGTTCAAAGGTATGGTTAACTCTGATATATTGTCTCAAGATGACTATGAGTTTGGAGTTTGTGAGATTGGTTTATCTAGCTAGTTTCATTCTTGTTATAATGTAATTAACAGCAACAGTACAGAAGTATTCAAACTACAGCATAGGGTTTGTTTATTGTGAATAGGCTGTAGAAGAATTAGGTAACTGTAGTTTTACTTGTAATAAGGTGAATAAATAGAGTGGATTCTTTATGTAAATATCTGTAAGAGTTTGAGTCACAGGAAAATAGGCTGCATTTGACCTTATCATTGTGAATTGTGGTACTGTATGTAGAATAAAAGTTTATGGTGTGTTTTTTAGGTATGTCAGTGCACTCAGTGAATAAAGGCTAAATCAGTGTTTTGGTTGGGATGAAAGTTTGAGCAGTTGGTTGATGGTCAGAGTTGGGAGTTTCACAGACATGTTTAAATTCATTACAGATCTTGACAATCTTTTTTTCAGTGTGTCAGAATAAGTTGTGGAAGTGAACTTTGACAAAGGTCCTATAAATACACTGTAGGATTGAGGGGTTTCCAGATCAGTAACTATTTTGTGTGTGCATGCGTGTGTGATGTCTCCAGCCTCCCTGCCTTAATTGGATAAAAGTTTTGTAAAGAAATGAAGACACTCAGGAGGGCTATGTGACCCTGGCAGATGCTGTACCTGTTTTGATTTTTACCACAACATCCAGTCATGGCATCATTGTTTTCACCATCCTGCCCATTTGTTCACACATTATGTTTGTAGGTAGTTGAGCATTACTGATTAGTTGACATACTGTACCGCAGGGAGCATAGAGACCAGAGGGAGCAGCGTAACCCTCACATGGTAAAGCCGCCACAGCCAACCCAAGCACAAGCCAGAAAACCTGAGGTATGTGGTCGGCTTATTGTCCTCTCTACCCATTTTATTTGAATAGTTTTTCTTACTAATAAATGTTTTGGAAATAAATTAACTAATGGGGAAGTTAGCTACTTAGAATGCTATTGCTATGCTTTTTAGAGCTACTCACACTAATACTTATTACTGGTTATGATATAAACATTAGACTTAGGTAAGACTGTAGTACTTGGTGTGAATCTTCCTAGTTAAAGGCCACAACAGTTATTGGGGTTTTAAGTTAAGTTGTGTAAATGGTGGAAGGTGTAATACAATCAAGCTGTGTTTTGTTATACTATACTGTACACATATCATCTCAATTGGATTATCTCATTTTTCATTATATTTTTATTATGTGTGAAATAAACATTAGGATATTATGTGTGGGATGAATGATGTACAGTTTTTGATGAGGTCCCCATGTTTGTCCACAGTGTGATATCTCTGTACTGTTTGTAAGTGGCCCACCAGTCTTCCCCTATACGCATGCCTGTGGGGGCTTTATGCCACAGTTTACCCTGACTCTTGTTAGTTAGTTTAACAAAATATCTCAAGTGTCATCCCAAAATTTTGTAGAGGGAGGGACAACTGGTAGCATTGTTAAAATTATTATAATTATTATTTTTTTTTTCATAGATAAAATTTTCACATTAACTGTTGTTTATGCGTGCTTCTAAAGGCATCGTCAATTTTTTTTATACATTTTTAAAGTTCTCTTCAGGGTGGACGTTAGATGTGCCAACTTGGAGCATGGCTTTTGAATGTATTTAATACCTTCAACTGATTCAGTGTGTTACTCGTTATGTTTAGTTGAGTTATGCATGAGAAGCTACTAACTGGTTTGTTTTTCTTATGTTTCATAATGCTTGGTGTCCTTTGTTGTGGGCAGCCTCACCCTCGGAGGTTGGAGGTTAGTGATAACTCGAGCACACACTTTGCATCCCTATGCTTGTGACCTTCAGTCTATACTTACAAAAGTTTACCTTCGTTTATTTGCACTATAGTCTGTTAAGGGATAAAGGGAAATTCTTTTGGTTCATACAATTGAGCTGTGGCATGAAAAAATACTCCACAATATATTGTAGTTTAGTTTGAATACATTTTGAATATTATTTTGTTTGTGCAACTGAAATTTTGTATATAATTAATTTTTAATTGGACTGCAGGACTTGGACATGCTTGCTCAACACCTCAATGAGCTTGGGGCAGTCGCTAATGACAACAGAGATCGAGACAGAGAAAGAGAAAGAGAAAGAGAACGAGAACGAGAAAGAGAACGAGAAAGAGAAAGAAACGAAAGAGAGCGTGCAGAGAGAAATGATCGGGAGAGAGCAGACCGAGACCGAGCCGAGAGAGACAGGGAGCGTGAGAGAGCAGAGAGAGACCGTGAGAGGGAGCGCGAACGAGAGAGAGAGCGCGAGCGGGAACGGGAACGAGAACGAGAGAGGGAACGGGAACGCGAACGAGAGAGGGAACGGGAGCGACGAGAACAAGAAAAGAGTCGTCAGAACGGTGGAGGCAGCAAGCACGAGTCGCCAGCTCCGCCAGCACTCATAGAAGAAGATTCCAGTGACGAGGATGACGAAGGCCGTATGAGAAATGACGGGACCCTTCTTGCATCTGACCCACCAAAGCCACTGTAAGTCATCTGTCTTAGATTTTACTAATTTGAATATATACAGCTTGGGAACGTAGATTGACGTATATCGTTTTGTGTAATTGTTGAAATATTTGTGCTTTTTGCGGAATATCAGACTTTGAAATATAACTAAAACTATGATTGGTAATTAATATTGTAGAGATCCTTATTTCTTTCTGTATTTAAATCCCTAAGTGTTGTAGTTAACTTAGTATCTACTATACCTTCCAGCAGCTTGGGCTCTGACTAATGCATATTATGTGTGTTTTAACATTTGGGAACTAACAAAAGACATAAGAAAACAGGGTCAGCCATGTGCACCTAAGTATAATACCCTCCTTGCCACCCCTGTATTGTCACTTTGTTTTATTTCTCGACAATGAAACTATTGGGCAGTGTTGGGATTAAGTGGGCAGGGAATGGGATTTTCTTATGCATAGATGCTTGGCACCAGTGTTCTTGACCTTTCTGTAAGTTTTCCCTGCTGATTTTTTTGTCTTAATTAGATACCTGTACCTGTATATATATAAAACTGGGTTTGGATAGACATAGTTGGCTTCAGTCACATCAAATGCTTTCTGTGTGTGTAAGAGAAAAACAATGGCCTGTACTCTAAAACTGCATTCCTGCATCATCACTCCATTTCATAATTTTTTGGGGCGTAAATGCTTCACACCGTCTTTTCAGTAGCCATCTTAAGGAAGTTTTAACTGTAGCTTTGATATTGCATGAAACCTTCTGTCCTTGTCTTGCTGTTTTTGGTCTTAGAATTTAGCAAACTTAAAATTTTGTTCTGTAGCAAGAAGTTAAACGTTTGTTGTCCTTTTAGTTTCCTTATAATGCATAGGCACTTAAAAACTGAAAGAAACACTAAAGGAGCTAATTATATTGAACATCAGTTTGGAGGATATCATGGAATAACATGTAGTAGGCCGCCTTATGCAAATACCCCTGCTGTCTGTTGTCTGGACGCGATGACTCTTGAGGAGGGACAGTAGTTCTCTCAGGAAACTGGATGTGAATGATGATAAACAAAATCTTATCTAATTATTTTAACCGGGGACTCTGGGTGTTTGGAGATGTGTCACTACTTCAAGTATGTGCTGACACGTGGGCTCTAGTTTAATTATGAAATTATCGGTCTTGGTAATATGATATCGATTTCTGTCGTTGGTGGTGCTGCCAAGAACGCATTTTGTATCAGCGTATCAGAATCTATGGATTGCATTGAGCTGAAAGAGGCCGTGGGATTATTGTTTGTCTGTTATCTTTAATGCTCTCCCACTCTTATTTGAGGTGGATCAAGGGAGTTTACTACACTGCAACCCTAAAGAGGAGAAAGTGTTGTGAGACGAGGGTATAACTTGATAGTAATGGGCTAAGACACAGTACAAGTATCCATATGTGTCCCTTCACCAACATCCCCAAGGACAGTACATGAAGTGAATCATAGCCTTAACATTGATTCACAGAGCTTCATGTTAGGATACTATATCTTGTGAATTACTAGTATAGAAAAGGAGTAATGAAGTGTATTTACAACAACCAAGATACAGATTGTACGCCAGGAAGTCACACAATAAGGAGATATTCTAAACCAGATCATCATTCTTGAGGTAAAGAGCTGTGATTGTGAGTAATAACAGGCAGCTAGTACTATACATCTTAAGAGTCATAGCATTGTTGTTAGTGACTTACGGAATAGAGCAATGATTTGCATCTCCATTGGATCCTTTTAAAGTGCCAGCAGGTTAGATGTTAAAGGTCCAGTTGTAAAATTCATTCTTATTATTACTTTCGATTTTTCATAATATAATTTGGATCGTTTCTGCCCTAACTTATTTTGGCTTGTCATTAAAAGTTGTTTACTTCACTCTGATTGGTTAATGCATTTTATTTATTTACTATTAGCATCCACAAGTTTTCGGAGATAATTCTAAATTCTAAATAAGAATTTAAATGTGCATAAAGTAGCTTTAACTTGTAGCTGTGCATGCCCTCTGGTGTTTGGTGTGGATGCCAATAACCCACTAACGCACTAACGGGCCAAATTTCCACTCTTCCCCTGCTAAACAGGTTCGACTATTCCACTTTCAGGCCTGCAGAGGGCGCCCTTCCACACACCGCACTACAAGGTGAGTTAAAGACGAACCATTCAGTGTTTCTGATCTAGAAGCTCAACTCCAAAGAAAATCAGCTAAGTTGATGGATACTTTTGGCTTTGGTTTTGTATAGAAATAACTTGTACTGTATATGTTGAAAGTATTTAGTGTTACCCCCAACTAGGGAAACATTATTAGCTCAAGGGTTAGAACATTAACCATGTACACAAAGGGTCCCAGGCTCAGTTCCCAGGTGAGGAAGAGGACGAGGTAATCCCTATGTATATACAGTAGCGTGTGTGCAGTCAGCAGTAAAATGAGTACACTAGGTGTATGGTGACCCAGTAGCAGCTAGATGCTAAAAGTCAGGAGATGAGCACCTTTAAAGGCACCCACATCATAATAGGAAAAAACCTGTATATCTTAACTAATTGGGACCGAGAAAAGGGTGAATAAGCAAGAATGGTGAATACTGGGAAAAAAATACTAGCTGTTTAAATAGAAAAACTATTGCCAGTGCTTTGTTTGCACTTATAAGACTAATTATATCTTGAGGCAAGGGTATGTTGTTCATATGCTGAATTCATAACAGGCAAACGTATGCTTTTGATCACCTGAAATACAAGGGTGAGCTCAGTCTCACAGATGATTGCCTGGCTTTCCTCCTTTGCTGAGTATATGTAAACTAACATTTTGTCCTGAGGTTTACACTCATTTTTGTTATGTTGATATACCAGAAACTCGTGGTAGATACAGTACCCAAAACATAATTACTGTAGACTGTAAGAGTTACAAATGGCATGAAAAGCAGTTAATATAGAAAGCAGATAATGTGTTAGTGTGGCTCTATACTGGTGCCTCAGTAGACAGTTGGTCATGAGTTCAATTCCTGCACAGAGTGGAGGATTAGATACCTCTTTGTGCACTAACTCTTCTTCACTCAACAACGAATTCACTGTTGGGTGTGCTTGCTGAAGGTAGAGCAACCCTTCACTAGGTGGCGGGGTACCTAGGTATCTGTTGAGTGTCAAAAAGTATAGGTGATCAGCTCTTCTGTACTACTAGTGTCTCTGTTGTTAACTAAATCCCTGACATCTTCCTCTGGGATATTTTGATAAGACTAATTTCTCACTGATTGCATTAACCCCTTATGTGTTTGGTCTCCTATAAGCTGAATAAAATTGTCTGGGGTTGGCCAAATAGAATATTAAAAGTGGCATCCCCATAATGAAGAAGTTAATTTATGGTAAATACAAAGGTCTAAGGCAATATTTTGAAGGGTTAGTGAATGTTGAAAATGGAAAGGAAGACATAATATAATAATTTGGAACTTAAAAAACATTGATTGAAAGATTTAGAGAATGAGAGGGATTGAGAATGGTGTGAAGGAGATGATTCAATAAGTGTAGTACAGTACTATTAAGAGGAGAGGATGTAGTGGTATATGAGGGTCTTAACACAGTCCTACACGTGAGCCTGGAGTGAGTGCAGGGCAGGGCAGGGCAGGGCAGGGCAGGGCAGGGCAGGGCATCAGTGATCAGAAGGATGTGGATAGAGGAAAATATTTAGAGACAGTTGTAGAAAGAATAAATGATATGAAACAGAAAGAATTAATAAGCTGCACAATGAGTTCTTGTCTTTATCCTCTCTTATTAACACATTCTTATCTCCTTAATTTTTTACCACACTAAAATCTATAATGAGAATGACATAACCAAAGTCCTATTTTATAACTTTTTGCAATGTAATTTTTAAGATAAACATTTTAGGTGTTTTTCTCCCCTATCAGTTACAGTAGTCTTATATTTGTTATTCACTTCAAGAAAATTTGGAAAATGATGAAATGGTGTTTGGTTTCGTAGGACCACCTCCCAACCGGCCTCTTCCTCCAACCCCCGATGACGATGAGTCTGGTGACCGCACACTCATCATGCGCAGAGTAAGTTATTCATTCTGTTCACCTCATTGGAATATATTACTGGAGGTATTTATCATTTGTGGGTCATCTCTTTGGTGATCTACGACTTGTGTTAGAATTTTTATGCGGTAAAAAGTCAGATCAGACTCTTAATTGGGACAGTTGCTGCCCAGAAGAAAATCTTTTATTTTTTTATGTGTGTTTAGTTAGTGAGCAACAGGGATCTGCTTTGTTAGCTGTAAAGTTTGTGGTAGAGTTTCGTAGGTTGTTTGACCTTTGTGAATTACAGGTGTCAGGTGGTGATATATAGTAAGAAAAAATAATTGGGTAAATTCAAAACATATAAGTGTTATTAATACATATTACTGGTGTCTAGTGAATAGTAGCTGCCCTTCCCCTAGTATTATTTACCATAACAACTTGAGATATTGTTAGCTTATGGAGTTAAGCAATGCGAATAATATCAGTACATGATTTACTATGAATTAGTATTTTGCCTAAAGTTGGTGTAGCAGTTAGATGGATTAGTCAGTTAAGTAGGTGTATCACAAATTGGTATTACCGAAGATGCATGGTCGGCCTTCAGATTGGTGTATTTTTTGGTTTCTTATTATTTTTCACCTAATTCATATTGAAACCTCTGAAATATCAAACATCTCATGGTGTTATGGTCTTAGGAAGATTGGAACTATTCCTCAGAACAATGAGTGTTACCTATACCAGTGTACATAACAGTGAAATTGACAAAATGGCAATCATGAAGAGACACAGAAGGGAGTGTGGGGGACGTTGTACAGTAATGGCAAGCCTTGAGGGATGATGAGGAGGTTGGTACTGTCAACACTGCCAGGTGGTAACTTTTATTACATCTAAAAAAAAAAAATGACCAGTCCTTCCATAGTACTGTTTCCATAATGAGTGAGACTCCTGGTCCTGCTACCTGTCTTACGGGTGTTGGTGGTTTGATGGTGTATACCTCTGAAGACAAGCATCTGTTATCCCGAGTCTTAGCAACTTGACTACAGTATTATTAATAGTTTTATGCTGGTTTGAGTATTATTTAGTCACTGAATATAAATTTTATACTTCATATTCAACTTATTCCGACTACTCTTCATATTTTATAAATTTTTAATCTAAACTACCCCAGATATTATGGGTTGAGCCCAGCACTGTACTACTGTACTAAGATACAGACCCCAGGTAAAGTAACCACTGGGTGTCTCTTCTTGGAGGGGATGCTTAAGCTATACTCATTAGTGTAGATTTTTTTTACTTTTTTCTTTTTTATTGTTTGCAATGTCTCACTCCTGTAGGTCCAGTGGTCCTAGGTGGCAGATGTGTACGTTGGTTAAAAACGAAACATCAGTTAAACCTTAAAGTAAAATCCCCTTGGGATAATCCACATTGTTCAGGAGAAGAATGACATTTAGATTTTTGAAAGATGAGTTACATGTATTAAAAGGTTTTTTGTTTTGTTTTATTGTTGAAAAACGATTAATTTTGTTTAGATTTTGATAAGAAAGAAGAGTGTTGATGGCTCTTTAGGTAGGAGAGACAGATAGTGGTGGATGATCTAACACTGATGGAAGTGGAAGGGACGAGGGAACAGTACAGTACTTGATGACCAGTTCCAGAATGTGGAGAAAACCTGAGGGAGCTGCTCACATGCCTCAATTATTTCTCTCGAGCAACTACTTGATGTATACAGGCACCTTATCTACCCTTGTGTAGTGCACTGCTTGCATATCAGTTCTTGAAACTATTTTATAGGTTCAGCTATTTTCCCAAGGTGAATGTCTGAATTTTGCTGTTCATTATACAGTATTACTGATAATGTTTCTGTCATTCATGATTGCCATTATTTGATTGTGTTCCGAACTTGGTTAGTATAGTTAAGAAATTATCCCTCAGTATGTTTTATGTACTGTACTGTTTTAAAGCCATGTTGCACAGGTGATGGGATAACTTTAATTTAAGGTGGAGGATATTTTTTGCATGCTTCATTGTTAAATGCTGTTCCCTGTGTGTGTAAGTGCTGCAACAACTTGCAAATTTCAGCATCAGGCTGATGTAGATGAACAAGTGCAGCCAGCACAAGTGGAGAACATAGATAACAATGTCAACAGTAACCATGATTATCAACAGACACAGACCAATGTAGAAAATCGTGCTGGACGGAGTACTGGTTTAAAAAATGTGGATAAAAAAGAAGACAAGAGTCCGTCCCGAAGTGATGTAAATCATGAACAGCGCAGAGCAGGTAGAGACATTGCCAATGGCCATGACAGTAGGTCAGTTCAAGATCCCAAACCAGCACAGCGAAACTCTCATCAGCTTATACATCAGTCTAGTGATGGTGATTTAAGTCAACGAGCTCACAGAAGAAATGAATCCGATTCAAGATTGGGACTGTTGCGGAGACAGCACACGGACGTGGCGCTCGCCCGTAGATCTGACGTTTACCGCAGCAGCAAAGTGGAGCTATCCTTTCCCACTCCACGTTCAGAGATGACGGCCAGTGTGGCCGGTGAGCCCGTTCTTACAGATTTTATGGCAATGATAGGAGACGAACACCAGCGAGCACTGGGTGATAGTGGGCGTAGTGAATTACGTCGTCAGGTGTCTCTGGATGGAGACCTGCACGCAGTCGGCTCTACTGGAGGTGCCAGTCGAGAGCCGGCCAGGCACGAGTGGAACCAAAGACGGGAAAAGACAGATGTGGATCTACGACGGGCCGAGCTGCGTAATGAGTTGGAGCAGTGGCGCGTGGCTCCCCAGGTGGGACGTGGCCGTGACAGCGTGACCAGTCAGCAGCAAGGGCCAGTCCACCAGGTCAGCTGGTGTGGACACACATCACCACAAACATCCTGCATGACAAACTGCTGCCATCTAGCAAGATCACAAGCATGGGCCTCTCTCAGACAGTGACACAATAGTTAAGCGTTTTAACTTCAACAATTGTCAGACCTTGAGTGTTACTTACTAACAGCCATACTGGAAATGTAAGCATCCAGACGACGAATATCCTTTATCGGATATTCTTAACCCCTGGGTCGCAGTTATGTTGATGTGGTTTTGAAACTAATAATAAACAACTAACCAATCTTCAGTATACTGAATTAGTACATTGTGCATGATGTAGTTATTTTTCAGTTTGCATCTTTTCTCTTTCCTTTACTGTCTTTGAAAATTCATGTGCATGACCATCATGGAATTGTACATTGATACACCTTAAAATAAAAAAGCCGCTTATGTATAAATATAATGCTCATCAGTTTCTCAAACATTTCATAAAAATAATGGTGTGTACAGTATTTTGCATTTTCATGCATTAAAAACTATTTTTTTTAAACGGTACAAACTTTCTAAGGTAGATATTCATTTGATTTAATTTAATGAGATTTTAAAGTTTATGCCTGTATACTATAATCATTTTGTATTGTTAAGCTCAGACAAATATGGTTTGGATTACTTTAGCAAAGATCAGGTAATTGATGTTTCAGCTAAGCTTTATCAACATGTGACTTCCTCACCAACTCACCTTCATTCATAACAGATTACTGGCTGCTGGATATTAACTGTGTTGCATTGCCAAATTTGCAAATTCATACCAATGTGTAAACAATTGTATAGTTTTATTTGAAAAAAAAATGGTGTAATTTTAAGCGTTGCAAAGAAAAGAAATACAAGTAGCAGTAAATATACCAATGCAGCAGTGTGACTCACAGCATTCAGCAATCAATCAACTTCTACACTTTTTAATATTTGGTGAGGACATCACATGAGTGAGGAGCTCAGACTAATAGAGGAATTTAGAGAGCTGCTAACTAGGTTTCCAAGGGTTGACCTTAGGGTCTTTTGATAATATAGTTCACGGAACTCGATTAAGCTTAAACAGCGAAGGTTAGACTCTAAAAAATTCTCGGTGGTGTGGGTGTGATGTTGAAGCTTCTCACACCAGTCAAACTAACAAAGGGAATAAAACAACACTTGGCCAATCTGGACTTGGCCTGTATCCTTAGTGACAATTATTTCATAATTATGATCCATTACATTTTTATTTCATGTTGATTTTTTTTTAAGAACATTAAGAAAATTATTGAAATGTCTTCCAAGAGTAGGCAGTGTTCTGGCAAAATTATTAGTTCAGATAAAGTCCACAATAAAACTCATAAAGAAAACACTATGTGAGGTTGCTGATGAGTGTGTTGTGTCCAAGTAGTGAGCCACAGTTCATTCCTCAGGTGATACAACAAAAGTTTATGGAAATACTACAGTTTTATGGTACCTACCTGAAGTTGATATGTTCTTTCAAGTTAAGTGGCCAGAATTCATGTTTTGTGTCATTTTGATGACTGAATCTGTCTTACTGGATGCCTCACCAGTGTTCATTGTTTTCTTCAATAAAATTGATTTATGGTTTGGGTATATCATGCTTTTTAACAAATAATGTCAGTAATTGACTAACAGTTTGCTTCTTTGACCCAGTAAAGTCAGTGTGTCCCCCACCTCTCCCTTTGATGCTTGGTCTCCTCAGTGTAGCTGATGAATCAGCCATAAAAGGAATAGGTCATGAGATACTGGAGGATGAATGATGTACGTATGGTTCTCTGACAAACTCTGTGTGTCGTGGAGGGCAGTACAGAGGGAATCAAGCTGGGAGCTCTCATTTACTTTCTGCTCTGACCTGAGAGTTTCTTTGTTGAGCTTCATACACTGATTATCTCTGAAGTGGCTTCCATAATTTGTAGAGTTTGTCACAGAAGCTCAGTGGTAGAGCATATCCTCAGTAAGTGAAGGATCCTGGGTTCATCTCCTGGCTCAAGTGGAGGACTTGGTTTTCTCTTTGGACACATATCTTTATGCACTTGGCAATGGTGTGCACGGAAATATTAAATTGAGATCTTTAACTACATGATCAGAAAGAGTATATCAACTTCAGTGAAGCAGCAGAAAACTACATAGTGTATATTTCTCATACAGCTGTATTTTCACCTCATGAACTGTGAAGCTGAACACTGTAAATTTCTTTTAGCTTACATCAGTGTTTTTTGCTGTAAAATAACTTCACTTACTTTGCTGGTTTTTAATAGATTGCTTGACGAATGATAAATTAATTTTAAGTGTGTACTGTACTGTATTTATGAGCTATTTTATAGAGTATCTAGGCGCTTTTGAGAAATTGTACAGTAGTTTGATAATCTATGAAATAACTCCAGGAAAAAAATTAATCTCCTGCTTACTGTATTCTACCAGAGGTGATATACCACTGTACTGCATTGTACCCCCATTCTGTAGTACATCACATACTAAGCTCAGAACATTAATACACTTATCCTTACTTCCCATTACCCTATTATCCTTTTACCTTCACATAATCTTCAGTTTCTTCATTGTCATCATCATTATATTGGGTTTTGTTGTGTCGTCTAATACTTACCTCAGTATAGGACAAGGGTGACCTAACTCAGGAGGAAAAAAAAATAAAAAATTTCCCCTCATCATTGTCACTTGTTCTCACTAAATGTCTTACTGGTGTAGCAAATTCATTATTTTTTGTTAAGAATGTTCAGGTACCTTAGGCATGTGATAAGTACATTGATGTTAGGTACACACCATTACATATTTGGTTGTACAGAAAATTGCTTATAAGTCTATTTCTTTAGATTTTGAATTGTATATATGTGTAAATTTGTGTTAGTATTTATTACATGACTTAGTGAACACATTTCATTTGTGATTTCACTGATACTTCACTGATCTAAGTGTTCATGTACATTTTATTGGTTATTTTTTACTTATTTATTTATTTTTTCATTTTGTCTATATAGAATTTGTTTAATCTTTTGTTGAGTGGCTCCTTGCCCATTATATTCTTAAACAAAACATAATGATATAGAATATTGTTACATGACCAGAACTGTTCTTGAGGAAAATTCAAGTTAGCTGTGCGTGCGTGCGTGTGTGTGTGTGCGTGCGTATCACAGGAGGGTATTAATGGCATCACTCACTCTCTTCTATCTACTCCTAACACTGTCTTGACATCTACGTAAAAATTTCCATCGAGATACAAATTAGATTTATTCAGATGTGAGGACAAAAGGAGAAAAATTAATCCAAGAACTGAAGTGAACTCTGGAACTTATTGGAAGAACACAAAAATCACGATAAACAATGTGGCTAAATTACATTGCCTTTACTGGATATAGATCTAACTCCTAGTTTTAACTCTTCACATGTTGTAAAAAAGAAAACATAGCTCTCTTTTGTTTAAATATCAATTGCCTTTTTTATACACATGGTACCTGTACATTCTTCCTTCTAATGACCTCTTGCACTTGTTTTTATCTTTGTGTTATAACTTTCCGGACACAAAACTTAACATCTGACTGTATGTTTGGTAACTACTCTAGATATCATGAAAACTATGACTATTGACCTGGGATTCTTAACTTCATGCTCCTTTTTGTTACCTTTAAAACTTGTTAATTTTCTCAAGTAAGTCACTTCACTGCTACTCACCAGCCAGGAGCCATCTCTCTGCATACTCTAAAGCTCCTTCTTATGTTTATGTTGTCAGCTATATTGCATCTCCATACCCATTACAGTATTATTCATTACAGATCATTACAAATACCTTAAACCTTATCTCACCCATTCTGAAATTTGAAGGAAAAAACAAAAGTTTGATGTGCTATAACACTCCAGTAAATGATAATTAAAGTAAATATAAGGAAATGTTCTGATGTTTCCCACAACCCAAGTGAAATTATTTTTTTAATTCATAAAAGATCATTAAGATTGGGAATATTTTTCAGTTATAATTTTTTTTATTTATTTCCTTTTTCTTGTGTGTGTGAGACACAGCTTGGCTAAAGCTGAGGAGGACTCTTATTTTGCAGATTACAAAATGTGAGAGTTTTAGCTGAGAAGATAAAGTTTTTGACTTTAACTCAACTGTTAGTTTTTGCTATCCCCTTACATCGAATAGCAATGATAAATTATTTTTAAAGTGAACTTTAAGAGTGTGACAATGTACGGTACTCTCCAGCAACAGGACCGTTCTCGTGGTGCAGAGCCCTCATCAGGGATGAGCACCCCCGGTTCACGCACTTCTTCTGTTCTTCCTGATCTCCTACCACAGGTTGGTTTATTATTTTATTTTTTTCACAATGTTTATTTGTTACTACTTTTATTTTCCAGGGGAATACTAGCATGTATAGGCCAGGTGCAGAATTAACTGTTCTGAAATTTCTGGTATTGTTCCTACTGGTAAGGCAAGATTGGCAGAGTTACCAACTTTGAAGTACTTCAGATGACCAGTCAAGTGCTGTATGAAGTACTGTACAAGTTATTCCTCTTAAGATAAAAGACATAACCAGTTTAGAAGACTTACCGGTATATTCTGTACTGTACATACCTAAAGATAGCATTGCAGTGATGGAACCTGAGTCATGGAGTTGTGAACTGCTCCAGTCTGTCTCATTTTTCACAGGACATAATTATACAATATATAAAACTGGTAGGATAATTATACCTAGAACTGTCCTTGTTAATAGTAAAGCTTAATTATTGGGTGTGTTACCGTTTCTTTGTTTATTGTTTCTGTGTGAATCATATGCCGTCACGTGAGTAAGAAAGCGTCACAATACATCGTCAGAGTGAACCTGGTGATGAGAGAATAGACCTCATCCGCGCAGCACTGACTTTACTTACAGTTTTGCCATTAACAAAGATATACACTACACTACATGATTTAACAGCACACGATTATTTATTATATTTATTTTGTTAGGTTTGTTTACAATATACTGTACAGTACACTGAGCAGGGACTTTTAACGAGTACTACCAGAGTTGTCAAAACTTGGACCTTCGGGGGTGGGGGGAGGGGAGCACCTCTTGTGTAGCTAAATTTCCAATCTTCTTTTGTTTTTATTTTCTCTGATAAAGCTGTAACTTTACTCGCTCTCTTTCTCTCACATCTTCACTTTATCAATAATTCCTGATGTTGAGGCAATTGCATAAACAGTATTTGAGGAGGTTAAAGTACCATTGATATTTCTTGATGTATTCATTGAGTTACATGAGGTAAACAGCATCATTGTGGTGGGGGGGAATACAGTATCCAAATGCCTCAGGGTAGGACAGTGGGAAGAAAATAGGGTTAAGGTATTTTATTGGCAAGTTTGACACCGCTCGGCACATTACGGAGTGGTTGTGTGAGGGAGACTGGACTAGAAGGAACATGAGAGAGAGAAAGGATGGAGGAGAAAACCAGATGTGGTGGTAGTGCTTTACATGCCCTGATACAGAGCTCCTTGTGACACTCAACACACATGTAGTTTATCTTATTGTGTTGGTAAAACTGGAGGGAGGCTATACGATTGCTCTTTATCTGTCTGTATGTGTGTTACCACTATACATAGCCCATTATTATTTTTTCCTCATATTTGGTACAACTTGAGAAGGTAATTGATAATGTTATAAAACAATAATACCATCTACACATTGAACGTTTATTGGTTTAGATATAAAATGGACATTGGCAAAAGCCATTAGGTGGACCTATGTTGGTGTGTAATACAACCTTATTAAATTGTTTTGATAATAACATTGCAGGTTATAACACTTTATTGTGAATATAGTTACAAGTGTTTGAGTTATTTGTATTAGAATTTATTTTTATTTCATTAGGTTATACAAAATTAATGTGTTTGGTTTAGTAAAGACTGTCGTGAAATATTACCGTGGCAGCTGTCGACCGGTTGTGTCACCTCATAGTACTAACTGACTGACAAATTGTTAACCTGTTAGTGAAGCTATTGTTCTTTACTGTATATTCTCTTTGTGTCTGACATATATTACTCGATCGAAGAAAGGAACACAAAGGGTAATAAAGTACTGTTCTGTGTTGAGTTAGGAACATAATTGAAGCCAAGAAAGATATACAGGGTGTCTCATAGATCATACACCAGGGAAGATTATTGTTTTTCTCTCGCTCTCTTTCTCTCTTTTCGGGTGAGGGAATCATAACAAACAAATCAACAAAGATGGGAAGATGGCAAAGAAATTAATACTAGAGGGAATAGTCAATTTAGTATTCATGTATGGTAACCTAGTTGCTGATCACCTGGAAAAGAACATTAAACCAACTCTTTCCTCTTGTGCTAATTTCTCCGTCATCTTCGTTGATTTGTTATAATTCCCTCACTTGAAAAGGAAATAAAAAAGAGAAGAGCGATAATTTTCCTTCGGTGCACGACCTCTGAGATATCCCGTACAAGTAAAATTAAGCAAATGAATTATATAAAAACCTACATACTGTATGCCCATTCTCTGATCACATTCACAATTTATTTATTTTATTTTTATTTTATTTAATCATATTTTAACATGTGGGTCTGCTGTTAGTGCCTTGTTATATGTCTGTGATCTTTTAATTACATCAGGTGACGTACTATATACACTGTACTGTATATTCTATTGATGCCTTGTTTCCTTGTGATAATCTGGATTTGTAGGTGTCTAAATGGGTGAGGATTGTATGTCTAGGCTATACGGTGTGAAACAAACATCTTCGGTTTATTGCAGTCAGTTTGTGTCATTATGAGAAGGTGTGTCTTCCTGAGCTATGCATTACTCAGGAAATGAATTAACCTACTGTACCTTTCTCAAGTTCCAGATCTTTAAAAAAATATATATATAATAATCTCCGAATTTCACATATAATAGTCAAGTTTTATCTGACAGGCATCCAACAGTCCCAATGGATCCCGCCACGACAAATCAACCAGTGAAGAGGTCAGTGTTCTGTTTACTTTGTGCTTATATACAAACTGCTCGAAAAAAAATTATCTTGCAGTGCTTTGCTGATTAAGGACGGTTAATTGCTTGCCTTGAAAATGCTACCTTGTGATTGCTTACCTTTTAAGGGCTAAACAATTTGGTTCTTAAGGACAGTGAATTTAGGCCATCCTTGCAGTTGACTTTGCTTCATTGTATCTGAATGTTTCTTGAAGAGATAACATTTGTTATGACAACTCTACAGTGAAGAACGAATGCCTCATATTTTTCACTCCTTGCAAACAAAATATTCCTTGTTAGAGTGTAGAGCCAGGATTACAAGATGTGAGTCCTGGTCACACACCCCAGTGAGGATTATTTCAAGTGCATTGATGTATAGGAACAGTAATCCCTCATGAAAATTTTTTTTTACTATATAATTTTTTTCATAATCTGAAGCCAAATGTTGTGCATTGTAGTGTGAGTAATGTAAAGTAGTGAAGTAACAAGCAAGCATGTAACACTCAATTAATAGTAACACTTCAGTGCAGCTTAAAGGACATCTGTCTAGTTCTGTCTTTTAATGATGAAAATTTGTGAACACTGAGGATTTAATGTCTTTAGGAGATACAGTGTGTGATGAAGACGACTACAGATCAGTGGGAGGGGTTCTAATTCAAACAAGTCACACCTAACCATCAGAATTGGGGCCCATTATGACTGGGCCCCAATCCTGTAGGTTGAGTTGGCTAGGTTATGTTGGGATCTATTAGAGTTGGAGTTCATTTGACTAGTTACTTATGGAGTATGTAGAGAACAATGGCAGATGTTCCCCTGTGTATTTATAGTAAGCCAAGTGATGGTAGTACTGTACTGTAGTATTTGGAGGATCAACTATTAAATCAGGCATTGTAGACTCTTGGGGACTAAAGTGAAGTAGAGCACAAAGTTGGATCATATGTAGCAACATGTAACTAGCAGGAGGAGATGACTAGGAGCTTTTAGATTGGTTTAGGTAAAGCTTATTACTTAGATGCTGGCATGTGCAAAGTGATGGATGAACCAAATGGACAGCTTGGGGTCTTGTTATGGAAGGGAATACTAGTGCAGAGATATCCCTAATACAGTAGTTAGAGTGAATGCTGGGTGATGTGATTACTCTTGTTTGGAGCTGCCGTGAGTTATGGCAGGAAAAGGCTGCCAAATGTGGAGAAAAACAATGATTCAAAAGAAAGGGTAAAATTACTGTACTGTAGTGATGGATGACATATAAAAGGATAGCAGGGAGGGTAGTACTGTAGGGTAGGGGAGGCATGGGTGAATAATGTTGGACTTGTGTGAATTGTAGTTCAGTGATATATTTTGGGGATAAATTAATTTTGATAATGTATGAATGAAGGGAGACTTACAAGATGTGTGACGGACAGTAGAGTGTTAAGAGCACAATAGGAATAGTATTGGGCTAGAGTGGAGTAAATCACAAGGAGCATGACTAATGATAATTTAGTGAATGGAGAGAGAGAGAGATTTGCAATGAAAGGTGAAAAGATAAAAAACTTTTTCATGTATTTTCATTTTGTTTTTATGAAGACTCCCTGTAGTTATATGTGCATTGGTCCCAGAAAAATAGAACAACAAATAGAGGAAAAGTAAAAATTGAGAAAACTTAAAGATTAGTTGACTAATTCTGACTGAAAACAACAGAACAGTGGCAGTGTTTAGTGGTATGAATGCTAAAGTAAGAATGGGTTGAGGCTAACTATTGGAGATGTTATAATTACTGTGTAAAAACAATCATTCCGGCAAACACTTCAAGTATTCAAAATATATATACTATACATACCATATATACCCATGTAGTATTGGTCAAGATTTTAAGATCATTAGGTAAAGGAACTTAATGGGGGAAAGTTAGGTAGGTCAGTGTACAGATTTCTATCATTTGCCAAGTAATGTATTATCATCTGAGTTTTGCAGCTATTTATTAGGATATGAGTTAAATAGTTCACTTTTACTCCCCTTGTACTATTAGATCTTACAGTTGTTCTCATTTTCCATATTTAGTTGTATCAAAGTAAATTCTAGGGCACTGTAAATATATATAAATAGATTTTCTTAAGGCTTTCGGTCTGCACTCCCACAAACCTTATTTTGCATGTACACCTAAGTATGAAGTATCTTTTATTTGTTGAGGTAGTGTACCAAGTGTGTGTGTGTGTATCAAGGGCAGAGCTCTGAGATACCTAGGTTTTTGTAGAGTCTATTTGAGTCTATTTTCACTTTTAATCTCTGTAGTTTATATCATATTTTGTATTATTTTTGATGATGTATACTGTAAGATTATCCATAAATATTGTTAATACTTGTAATGTATAAAGTGAAGGCCAAGTGTAAGATACATGGTGATGTGATCCATTTGTCTTGCATGCGGACTAACTGTTGAATGTCGTGCTGAGTAACTAACCCGAGAAGACGTCTCATCGCCACTAACAAGTAAGTATCTGGTTGCCAAGTGTATACCTCTGTGGACTAGAGTTGAGGAGGTGAGCATGTAATACCTCTTGGCTTATTATTAATCATCTATAACAACTAATGTTTTTTGTTTTTCTGCCTTTTTAAAAAACCTTATTATAGTACTGTAGTGTATTTTGTAACTATATTTACCTGGTTTACCTTACAGCCACCACATCTATTGTAGTACTGTAGTGGCCTAGCCAAGAGAGGGAAGCTTGTGTCTTGTTAAGGGTCTTCCCATTTTTTCTTGTCCAGGGTTGTTTAACAAGTTAATACTGTTCTTGCATCAACTGCTTCAATTTATATTAAAAAAGACCAAATGTTTTAAGGTCTTGACTTCTTCTTGACATTCAGTTTATGATAATAGTGTGCTGTAAAGGGTGGGCCAGAAGTAAAGTGATACACTCACAAGGCTGTAGAGACCTGCCTGTGTGTCCATAATTTCTTGTCCACCCTATACAACAGTTCTTTGTAAAACCTTAAGGTAATGTGTAACACCAGCCTGTTCTCTTGATGCTGCTTTTGGTGTATCAATTATTATTTCTTAGTAACCAATTAATGCTTCTGCTTTGTTCTTGTGAGTCGGCATTGTTCTGATATTTGATGCTTCGTGTAAAAGAAATTAGATGTGAACGTCTCTCCAATTAAGACGTTATTCTTGCTTGTTTGAACATTTTCTTCTCTCTTTAAGACCTTTCCTGCCTTGGTGCAGGTTGGCTGTAGTCAAGAGCAATGCAGACTCTCCCTTATTTGCTGTCATATGTTGAACTATGTTGCTCTCATTTCATAATATCTCAATATTTCCTCTTTTTTTTTTATGTGTAGAAATTTATGTATGTACAGTATATTTGAATAAATATGTAAATTTTATTATTTCCACATTTATTTGAAAGCTTGTAGATAAACCTCCTCTAGAACTAAGACAAAAACTTTCTGACTTATGATTTCAACTATTATCTCTCAACTCTGTCTGTCTAAGGTCTTGTTCAACCAGAACTGTACCTCCTTCAACATCTTGGATTTTCACTTCCAGTAACCAACTTTACCATGTTTATGTAGTAGTCTCCTGCTGTTAACTTATTCTTCCATATTTTAATGGTCATTACATCACTGACATTGAATCCATCATTATTCTTGTACCTATTTGACTTGGGACAGTCTAGTTACTATTCCAATTCTTGTCACCACTAAGCTGCTGGGACTCTGTACAGTCAACATTCTCCTTGTGTTCTTCCTCTGTGCTTCACATCTGCCAACATTCAACATTCTCCTCCAACTTATATTCATTTTGCATGTATTACTCTCGTGTTCAGATAGAGAGTGAGTACGGTACAGTGCAGTATATGATATCAAATGTTTATACAGTACAATACATCGGTTCTCTGGTGTCCTAGAAAGAGAATGGCAGACTGTACATGAGAATTCTACCATTGTCACCGACACCACTATCACACGCATCTGTTCCATTTAGTTTCTGGACGCATATAGTAAGCTGTATCTCGTTTTCAAGTAGGGTGGTTTATGAAGATAGAAGCAGATAGTACATTAGTTTGCTATTATATGATGGAGGAAAAAGTTTCTATCTTAATGACAGTACAGTTCAGTACAGTAATATAAAAGACAAGCTGACTGTCCTTGTGACAAAGCATCTCCATGCCATTTATATGTGTTCACAGAGTTACTCTCTTTAGTAATGATTCAACTGTCTGATCCAGTCACCATTTATTGTATGAGATGAATAGTACTTGGTGTTTATACTATATTGGAGGCCCAGAAATCAGACAACAAATTATCCAACAGACAGTGTTCCTTACAGGACAACCCCCACCTCGTGTATCAGTGTAATAATATTGTACATAGTAGGTAAATAGATATGGATACCAGTAACTGTTTCAGTGCTTTAATCTTACGAGGCATTGTCCAGTTTTCAAGTTTTCTTAACGTCATTTGTGTTGGGATTAATTAACTGAGAACCTAGACAATAGTTGACAGACTTACTTATTTAAGATAGAAATGTTTTGTTTTTCACATATGAGTGTGATTTAATTTAAAGTTAGGTTTCATCTTTAATTATCACTCACCAGGTAGATAGCAATATAAGGTGCTTAAAGATCACAAAATACATCTGTCATTGTTGGTGTAAACTTTAAGCCTGTGCAGTACTCACTTGGACAAAACAGGGAGTAATTTACTGCAGGTTCTTCAGCTCTTCTTTTTACATACTGTATTTCTGTTTTCCTGTCCATACAGTATATATTTTGCTATACTTACACTAGTATATACTTATGCTTTGTGGCTGTCACAATTTGCCATGTGTATTATTATTATTGTGTCAATCCTCATTTTATTTACTTGTTTCTGTTTTTATATTTAATACTGAACAGAAATCCTCACTCTGTGTTAGAAGACTAATTTACAGAATTTATATATTATGCAGTAGTAATGTCTCCACCACCATCCGAGTTGGGCATAAAATCTCTCAAGTCAAACCAGGGTAATATTTTATAAAGATTTTGTAATTTAATATCAGTCTTGAGTTTTCATCTCATTAAAGTGTGAAGATGTACAACAGGGATAATTGTTGAGGACTGTGCATGTGTCATCCTACTTTGACTGGTACAATACAAAGATTACATTTACATAGATACATATCAGACAGGATAAAATGGATTGTTTTTTGTATTAATTTTGCAGTTAGATATTTAATAGAAGTAGGATTTATATTTATTTTTTATTATTAATTTATGGTGTACAATATACATTTTTCTGGACTCTGACCCAACAACCTTGTCACATTACACAGTGCTAGAAAAGGGCTTTCAAGAATGAAAAAATAGAATATAACTCATTTATCTCTTTTTCACAGTACCGACAAGCAGTTGGTAAGGGTACCCCTCCTCATCTTCAGAATAAACAGCGGTCGTTTATGGCATTCGGCTTTGGCGCTGGTGGAACGGAACCGCCGCGGCGAGAATCACACATCAGCATCAATGTTGCACCGACATCTCACGAAGTCAACGATACACCAGAAATTAGGAAGTACAAGAAAAGGTTCAACTCAGAAATTCTCTGTGCCTCATTATGGGGTGAGTTTTGTTCTCTTATTGTAGAAAACTGTTCTCTAAGTTTTCAATTTGATCTTGATACCAACCACATTGATAATTTTATTTGAATTCTGAGCAAGTTCAGATATAGGAGTAACATGACTTTCACTCATTGGATGTCATTCATATTTCTTTCTGCCTCTCACATTCACAGAGAAATAGCAAAACAAACGAGTATACCTAAGAGCCCAGGTGCTCATTGGATGTCATTCATATTTCTTTCTGCCTCTCACATTCACAGAAAAATAGCAAAACAAACGAGTATACCTAAGAGCCCAGGTGCTCAATTAGGGGCACAGGGGTAATATGATGTTTTTCAGGGGTAAACATATTTGAAACCATGATTATAAAAAAAAAATTGGAATCCAATCGAAAGAGAGAGAGAGTGAGAGAGAGGAGTCTTGACTTAGGGTTATGGAAATATACAGTTAACAAGTCATATATTTCAAGGTAATGGCCAAAACTAATAGAGTACCCCTGCCTTAGAGTGATATAATGAAGCATATCTCAAATGTAGTGTAAAGTTTAAGATGTTCTTGATATTCAGGTGTCCCCTAGTGGTTTCCTATGTTTAAAGAGTACCCTGTATGTCTCAGTTACCTTGTCCCACTTTAGCACTTCTGTCAACAGGACCATGCTATTGTTGCTTCACCTTCTCAGTTGTTGAAGTTCTGTTAAACACTTTTTCTCTTGTCATACCTTAGTGGATTAATGAATTTCAGTGCATCTCAGTAATTTGTTGTAAATGAGAAGAAATTGCGCAAAATTTTGAGGATTATTGTGTAACAGATGAAACGTTATATTTTCCAGGGGTTAATCTTTTGATTGGGACGGAGACTGGACTGATGCTCTTGGATCGGTCGGGCGTGGGGAAGGTGTACCAGCTGATCTCTCGGCGACGATTTCAACAAATGGAAGTGCTCTCTGACCAAAATATATTGGTGACCATATCTGGCAAGAAGAATCGTGTTCGGGTTTATTATCTCTCTTGGCTCAAGTCCAAAATCCTTCGAACAGATGCTGTGAGTATTTGCTGTTGGGGAGAACACACTTAACAAATTTACTTCAGTTTTATAAATTAGGTTATCCATGATGTTTAAAGTTGTATTGTTAGAGGAATTTAAGCAAGACCTTAAATAGTAACTCTTGATTTTATGACAATTATTCCAATGCTGGATTATAACACTATAGACTTAGCTGGTTGTAAGGATCAACTCATCATATATAGTGGACATTTTGAACACTTATAAAAGGAATCCAGTGCTTAGGAGTGAAGATCTTTTAGGTCAGTGCCTTAACATCAAGATACTCCTGCATGATGGGTCACTGACTGGTTGAGGTAGATAAGTGGGTCATTATTATTTTTGTTTCATTAAAATCAAAGTTCAGTTTTATGTTGCATTGAAAAATAAGTTGATTGGAAGCTTCTCTATTTTATTTATTTTTACAACAACCATTTACAATTAACTGAGCATAATTGATATAAAAGTGTTATGAAAAAATAATCCACAATTGTTAGCAATGCTTCAGAAAACTAATGTGTTTGTAAAGATCAATTCTTTGCAGCAACAAGTTGAACGGCGGAATGGTTGGATTAACGTTGGAGACCTTCATGGGGCGGTCCACTTCAAGATCGTGAAGTATGAGCGAATTAAGTTCCTGGTCATTGCCTTGCGTGACTCAATTGAGATCTATGCCTGGGCACCCAAACCATACCACAAGTTTATGGCATTTAAGGTACGGCGAGCATGATGTACTACACACAGTCTGGTAATACTGAAACATTGCTCCTGTATCTGTTGATATGATATGTGTTCTATAAAACATGTAGAATGACTGCTGGGATGTACCAAGTGAAGGAGCAGATTGAGGTACATTCCAGGCCATGGACCCTCTTACATAGCTGAGAGGAGCAGAGGACTACAATTATTATTATTTTTCCAATTCTCATGTGATTGCAAACTCCTAATTACATAACAGGGAGTATTGCAATGGGATATGTTACACAAATGCTCCCAGAACGGCTTCACTTTGTAGAGTGAAGCCGTGTTAAGCGAGGGAGGGATACCTGTGACGTAGGTACTCTACTGTGGTTGTAACACGTATTTCTGACATAGGAGTGTTCCTTCTTTTCCCAACTGATAAGAATTGTTAAAAGTAAGAAGAAGGCAACACATCTTTCATACTTGGGTCTCTTTCCTACACCACAGTCAGAGTTTAGCTCATATAACTGGCCTGCCAAACTTACACCTACATCCAGTCTTTGTTGTGCCACACCTCTCAAATGTGTATTTATAAGTTGGCAAAAGAAAACTTTATATTTTTTAATACAGTAATGACATAATTTTCTGTATTTATTGTTTACCGTTACAGAGTTTTGGAGAGTTAGTACAGAAGCCGTGTTTGGTCGACCTGACAGTAGAGGAAGGGTCACGCCTTAAGGTGGTGTATGGCTCCAACCAGGGATTCCACGCAGTAGATGTCGACTCGGGACAGGTCTATGATATTTACCTTCCGAAACATGTGAGTAATGTCAAAGAAATTGGGATGAGAGTTTAAAATTGAGGTTATTCTATTACGACCTACTGTACGCACATTCTTTTCATGATCCTTTCAACTTCCAGTTTCTCATGCATGACCAATAGAAATTCACCTAATTTCTCATGTATGATCAATTGAAATTCACCTCACTGTTACAGGTTTCTTGGGTAATACTTAAGATACTGTAGACAGGTTATTCTGTTTTATCACTTTCATTGTAGGCCCACAAATTTGAGTTCCTATTTTGTGTAATAAACTCATTAAAAAATAAATAAAAATACTGCAAACAGAAAAACAAGTATCTGGAGCACTTTTAAGATGTTATTGATATGTGATTAGGTTTTTAGTTATATATAAGGTGTATTAGTTCTGGACCAAGAGGAACAGAAATCTTATCAATAGGGGGAAACTATAAAGAGTGTAGGAAGAAAGACACACTGAATATACTTTATAATTCTCCAGTAATTTATGGGAATGAAGGATGAGTTAATGAACTTGAAGGTTCTTATATTATAGTGGAAATTGGGGTGAAGTACATCTGTGGGGTGAGTAAGGTACAGCTGTGTAGTGAGGTGGGGTGAGGTACAGCTGTGTAGCGAGGTGGGGTGAGGTACAGCTGTGTATTGAGGTGGGGTGAGTCATTGTTGTGAGGCAGGGGAATGAAGGAAGTTTTACTGGCGAGGAACTTTGGAAAATTGAAATAGTGAATGGAGAAAAGAAAAAGTCACGTTGATGAATTAGCTTTTCAAGAGAACTGAATAACTAGAAAACATTGAAGAAATTGTTATTCACTTTGTCACACTCTAGATAAACTGAAGATGAGTGAGTATACAGAAGATGAGTGAGTATACTGTACATTAGATGAGTATACATTACCATCCTTTCTACCTAAGAATGGTGTATGGTTGATGACATTAATCAAATACAGTGGATATAAGACTGCTATCAATTGTCGGGGAAAACATTATTCGTTTAACCTCCAACTCCCATTCCTCCATTATGGTGATCAAACAAACGAAATAAACCTGACTCAGTATGCAGTGTGAATTTAAGTGGTTATTAAGATTATTTTTTTATACTTCATATGTAATTGGAGGATTTTAGCTTATTTTGTTGGCCCTCTTATTATTTTCCCTTTTTTGTGGGGCATCTGTACCTTCAGCTCCACTCCATGCAGAAGAGGGAGTGGAATAAAGATAACAGGGGGAGAATTTCTCATTGTTCTGCCTCTTGTGTCTCACTTCATATATGCACACTGACAGATTTGTTGCTTCATGTGTACTTTTTATTTTCAGATCCAAGGCAACATCACCCCACACACAATAGTGACGTTGCCTAATAGCAATGGTCTTCAGCTGCTTATCTGCTATGACAATGAGGGTGTTTATGTCAACACATATGGAAAGGTAATGCTTATCGTAATCATCAGTTTTAGAATGATAATATCTTCTTTAGCATATGTTCAGAATTGTGAGGTGAATGGTTGCTTGCTGAGCTTCAAGTATTAGAAAACGATGGGAGGTAATATTTCTTGGGTGTTGTGTGTTAGAGAGGCTGGCGAGAAAAACATCAGGGTTCTGTGTAATGAAAGGGAGCGTTATACTGAATTTTATCTGTGAAGAGGAATAAAAACAATTAAATAAGATTACCTCAGGGAGTTGTGACCCTGCCTAGCCAGCTGTTCCCACCCTGTGGGTTGTCTTTAGGAAGAGCATCCAGCCAAAAACTCGGCTACAACATGCCTGATGGTAGCCGGGTCAACCAGAGCTGTGGCCGTCCCTTAGCCTCTGCTGCATTTTCTGGGCTGCTGCACTGAGGGTACGGGGTAGTGTCCTGTGAGGCTGCTCCATCATCAAGTGCATAATGTTGCAAGCAGCTTTATTGCCATATTGCACATGGAAGGGTGTTCCTGAAGCTGGTCGTGGTGACTCACCCTGAGTCCACTGGACTGCACTTGCTATGGCATCAGGGTTGCAAGCATGCCAGTACCTGGGTTTGCAGTGGTAGGGGGAAGTACTTTTCTGGTTGTCATCCAAATCTTAACACCACCCATTACAAATAATATGTAATGTACTGGAATGAATAAACCTGCCACACTAAGACCACCCACACACTTCATGAATAAAAGACACAAGAAACTGTGTGATTAAAATGAAGGATCCTAACAAAGTTAGGTTAGGCTCAGAGCCAGTAGTCTAAATGTAGGTATGATGCATGGCAGAGCAGGGTATGTTGTGGAGACAGTGAGCTGTAAAAATCTCATGTCTGCTGCCTGCAAGAAACGGGGTGGAAAGGTAGCTCACTAAGGATGATCATTGGTAAGATTGATAGCTACAATATACATGTATTCTGGAAGGGAGTGAATCCAGGACAGGTGGTGTAAGGATCTTGATCACCAAAAGTGAGAGGAGAAAGTACTAGAGGTGAAATGGGTCATTGCAAGAATTTTGGTTTGATACTGCTAGTAGGATAGGAACTGTTATGACGATCATTTATATGCCTCTTAAGTTGGGCTAAATGAAGAAATGAAGGATGATTTCTGGGATAAAAATTTGTATGTAGTGTCAGGACTCGGTGAAAGAGAGATCATAGTAGTACTTTGTGATGACCTTAATGGTCATGTTGGGGCATGCATGAAGGTGTGTATGATGGAAGAGGTTACAGCACAAGAAATGTGGAAGGAAAAGGAATACTTGAGTTCAGGGATGCAATAAACGTAGTTGTATGCAACACATTGTTTAAGAAAAGGATTAGTCGTTGATTATATTTGAATCAGATGGAACAAAAACACAGATTGATTACTTTCTGATTAGGAAATCAGATGGAAAGTTTGTTAGTGATGTAAAGGGGAAGAGTGTGCCTTGCAGCACAGATTTCTTGTGTGTGTGACATGTTTAAAAGGTGCAGAACACGGAAGAAGGTTTACTGTATGTTCTGAGGAGTGTGTGGAGGTTGAAGAAACAGAATATTGTACAAGAGAAATATTTTTGGTGAGTGGAAGAGTGGAAGCATCCTGTGACAGTGTGAAGGGTTGTGTAATGTGTGTTTTGTATAAAAAGGAAACAGTGAAAATTACTGTTCTCATATTTTGAGCCGAGGAGGTCATTGCCTCAAGAGTCATACAGATGGATATATACAAGTTTCTTGAACCTGCATTAACCATCATATGTTGGGAGATTTCATCCTACTCAAAATATGTAAAATGGTTATAGAAATTTTACTTTTTATCTGTTTTTAATTGAATTTGTTATATATTTATACTTTTTTATGGGTTACTAGTCCTCGGGGTATACAGTACAGGTATCTGTAAGAAATATTTGAAGACTTAAAAAAAAAATTTTAAGGACATGAATTCTTCCATCTTGAGAATGCTTATTCCATGTACATTATAGTCTTTATTAGACCTGAGCTAGGTAATCTCATTTGAAAAGACAATATTTTGAAACTGTTTAATGAAGATTATAATACCCAACTTTTAATTGCAGGTAACCAAGAATATGATGTTGCAGTGGGGAGAAATGCCAACATCTGTAGCATTCATAGGCACAGGGCAGATAATGGGTTGGGGCAACAAGGCTATTGAGATACGTTCAGTGGAAACGGGCCACTTGGATGGAGTATTCATGCACAAAAAAGCACAGAAACTTAAGTTTCTCTGTGAGCGAAATGACAAGGTATGTCTACTGTACTGTTTATCACCATTAGTGTTGATGGTTCTACATCATTTCATTGTATGTCCAGTGCCTACTGCTTTAAAAAGGTTTGAATAGAGCTGACAAATTACAAATGATTCTTGGAAAGACCTTCATTGTATATTCAAACTTTTTCCTGCTTAATGTTGAGCAGTAAGAAATAGAGAGTAAATACACACTTACATTTTCCCTTCATTTCTTGAAATTCATTCATTCTAACAGCTATAAAAGTTGTTCTGCTATGGTTTTCTCCTTCTGCAAGTCTCCATTTTTTTTAAACAATTGTTCCATACAATCCATCATCACCCATCAGCAGAATGTCCATCCCCACAAATCACTATTATGACATACTCTCTTGATATCAATACCCATCACTTTTAGTGCATCATTCACCACACCCTCCATCCTGTTTTTTATTTCCCCCCTTTCCTTCTAACCATCCATCTTGGAATATACAGTATATACACTTTACCATTCTTTCAATATGTTCATACCATGTGAAGGAACTATTATTTGCTTTCTTCCAACACTGACTTCTGCTATACCATTTGTTTTGTCTCACTCAGGTAAACTGACAGTGTTAAAAATAAAATACTCTTGTGGAAGACATAATGTATACTGAGACTTTGTAATTTGAACTTATTGCAGTAACAGTAGATTGAGTGCACATGTGCTTAATTTGGGTCTTTCATTGTTCTTAATAAAACCATCTTCTCTTCTAGGTATTCTTTTCATCGGCTAAAGGCGGATCTTCGTGCCAAATCTACTTTATGACGCTCAATAAACCTGGCATGGCAAACTGGTAGAGCAAATGACCAGTATGTCAATGTCAATTAATATCTGGTATCTCATCACCAAAGGAAAGTCTTCCTTGGCTACTCAGTAGTTGAACATCTAAGGAACAACTGCCACGGTAAACTGTTACAGGAGTACTAAGAAAAAGAGTTCTTGTCTGATCAGCATCACCAAGTTGTTTGTACTAAGGTTAAACAATTTAGAAGAATGGACACCTTGCCAACTGATTGTCACTAGTAAGTGACTGGTATGGGAGAGGCTGCCCTGGACTTGTAGTTAAAGGCTGTGTACAGAGACTAAATGCTTAGCCACCACAGCCATTCAGAACCACTCTTTCTGTTATTGTTCAGTTATTAGGGTGGTGAAGCTTCCTGTGCTTTACTGTTGGGCCAAAGTGTGTTGTGGTATCAAGGAACTTTTCACTTGATTTGACAATTTCAATTCAATAATGTGAAATTTTTTTAATAGTGACGATTGGAAATCATAAGGGTATGTTAACTATTGATTGATTTGAACAAAGTTTAGGAGAAATTGTTGAAACTTTATAGCAAGGTCTTGCAACTCAGTATACTTGCTCAATTCAGATCTATAATTATTCTTTATTTGTTTACAAGGAATTTGAAATTAGGATTGGAAATAAATAAGGTTTTAATGAGGAACAAAACTTTGTCAACAGTGCACCACAAAATTACTATCCAAATTTGTTGGGCTGTTAAACTGCAAATTGAATCTGAACTAAGGAAATACATGCAAGATATACTGATACTAATATACATATGATTTGTTAGTGTAGTAACCAAGATCATCAGATGTCTCCCTGCAGTATGAAAGTGTGTAGGAAAATATTGTCGGGCCTGGGCTTGATGGAGCTGCTTTTGAGAATGAGGATGGAGCATCATAGCTGGTTAGAGCACACTGGGTGATTGTCAGATTCATTTATACACCATTTGGTTATATCTCTTCTGCTTCTACTTTTTTTTATCCCCGAGCTTTTCTTTGTGTTCTGTTGACCATTTATATAAGTGTTAATTTTCATTTGCTTATTTGTATAAGACAGTCTCCTCAACATCTTAGCCTATTGGGCCAATATCTCAAAGTGCAGGTCCAAAATAACATCTTAACTGCCCAGCAAATATTCCTACAACCTACCCAGTGTAAACTCTTTTTGATCTTTATTATTTTTTTTTATAGGTTTTCTAAAGTGTACCTTTTTCTATGTCTTACATTCTTATATGGGCCAGTGCCTTTTGGATGTGCAGACGCTGAAAGGTTTGCCATTTCAGAATACCCAAAAGGATATTTAAAAGTTACTGTATGTGCAGTTTGTGTACCCGTTGAGAATCTTACATACTTATGTTAGGGACTGATGGTATTATCACGTCATTCATTTGTCATTCCATTTTTAATATACATGATGCAAATGTACATCAAGGAACTGCATTCCTGTTATAGGTTGTACAGTGTAAATGAGCTTTTAAATGAAGCCAAAGTGTGAAGGTTTTTTGCTAGCAAAGAAGCTATTCTTCCTTATCCTGTAACCAATAGGTAAAGTGAAATATGCAATATAGGTGTAAAAATCTATTCTTATGGTGCTCTTTCAACATCCAAAGCAGTAGTGTGTATTAACAGAATGAGAACTTGTTGGGTCATGGGGCAGCAGAGGAAGGTTTGCTTCTGTGAATGGCTCCTTTAATATTTGCTATTCAGTGACCACAAATATTATTCCATTCATCAGGTATTCAAAGTGTCATACAGTACTGTACTAAGTCTATTGACATCACAAGATTGAAGAAATAATTCAAGTGATCCCGACCATACAGTGTAGCATGTCCCTCCTAATTCCAATTCTACATTTCAAGTGCTGCGGTACATCTGGCATATGTTTTGCTTATTTGCAATTGTGTCTTGAGTGATTACTTTTAGCTTCAGAATCAAAAATGCCATGTGAAAAAACTTTCAAAATATTTTAGACATTGCATTTGGTAACACCTTTTGAAGCGTTGGAAATATAGGTGAACTAAGCAGACACAAAAAATGAACAGAAATGAATATTGTAAAGCTAGTGTATGTTTTAAAGAATGTGAATCTTTTTGCAGAATTCTGTATTAAATACTTACGAAAGTTGAGAATTAAAGATTGAAACTAGTATAATATATTAATAGACTACAAAAAATGTTCTGGTGCATGGATGAAAAGAAATCTAATGCATCAAATCCCATTCAGGATGCTAGCTTGGCTCCTTGTAGAAGAGCATAACTTGGTTAAGAACCCAATCTCCACAATGAAGCAGGTCATTTTTATCCTTTTAATGGTGAACACAAGGTCATTGGAAGAATCCACTTGTAAGATATTTTTAGTGCAAACCAATGAATGCTGCTGCCCTCTCCTCTCTCGTATGCTCTTTATATCATTAGCTAAACAGTCATTTTATACTTTAGAAATATCAAAGCCTTTGTATTATGAGTGTTAATGGTAAGTTCTTTTCTAACTTATGCATCTAATAGTGAGGCACACCATGTGCATTTACTGGGACTCTTGTGAATATATTGAACCTTTCCTATTTAATTTGTTTATTTTACAATACTCCCATGGTAATTTTGAAAACCTGTACAGTATATACTTTTCATTATTTGTACAAGATTATACAGATCAAAAGGCATTCATTAATTTTAACTGAGCTGACAGCCATCATTTACAATATGCACATGAATTTAAAATAAAGAATACATCAGAACTTTACTTTAATTATCTTTCTCAAGAAATTGAACTTTTGAAAACATGATATAACACAATGATATAACGAAATTCAATAACTACCAACTGTATGAAGTCCCCAATGTGGGGATATATATACGGGTGTGAGTATTTTAGGATTTAAAAGTACAGTCAATCCTCGCTCCTAACCCTATTTTCTCCATAAGCCCTGTTATTTCTATTAGCGATTTTTCTATAACACGATAATTTACAAGAACACAATTATCGCGTTATAGCAAGAACTACCTGTACAGTGAAAGTAATAAATAATAAGGAATGGATACAGTGTGATTGAGCACTTAACCTTTAATGTAGTCAGCTGAATGCACATGGGGCATAATTTTCTAATTATACATGGAGGCTACATTATCTGGAAACGTTGGTATAGAAAATCGTGTCATTTGAAAAAAAAAAAATTTTAATAAAAATCTCGTGATCGTAAGTCCCGGCGATTAAATGAAATCCACTTGATGTAAGTCGAGGTCTAGCTGTATATATATATATATATATATATATATATATACACACACATATATATATACAGTCAACCCTCGCTTTACGCGGTCCCACATTCCGCGTTTCCATGTTTACGCGGTACCCTGCCGAAACCGGGATGCTCACATTCCGCACCCCTTTACGCGGAGAGTGTCTGGCTCGACGCAGATTTTTAGATTCGCCCCTCCCGCCTGCTCCTGCCTCCGCCTGGGCAAGCCGCGCGGTAAGGTTGCGCAGTGCATGTCTCTGTTGCGTTATCAGTGACGTCATATGACGTATCGGACTGTGATTGGCCATGCATCCCTACCTCCCTCCGCTGCTAGCTGTAATTGGTTTAAAGTAATATGATGTGTCCACCCGGGGGAGGGAGGGAGGGGGGAAAGACGACGCTTGACCTAGCCGCGGCAGTTTCATCCCTCCAGGCCACACCGTGTAATCGTGCATCCATTGTTCTGTAAAATGGCTTCCGCCGGACCACCGCCCCCAGAGAGAAACCTTTCCTTACCTGGACCCAGCCGCCCTATGCCAAAGAAGAAACGACGTTCCTTAAGCTACGAGGTGAAGTACAAGATCATCCAAGAGTTGGAAAAAGGAACAAGACAGGTTGATTTGGCGCGCCAGCATGGTGTGAACGAATCTACGATCCGGACTATAAAGAAGGATGCAGCCAAGATAAAGGAGCACATGAACATCACAAAGTCAACAGATGCTTCTATGATCAAGTATTTCCACAACCAGGTGCTTTTCAAGACGGAAAAATTACTTGTGAGCTACTTGGTGCGTCAGGCGCGACGAAACATGGCGGTGGACACGCGCTCTGTTAAGGAGTACGCACGTGAACTGTATGCTGCTGTGTCACGAAAGATGGGAATTACAGAGCCCAAACCCTTTAATGCTTCCTCTGGGTGGTTACAGAGGTTTAAGAAGAGGAACAAGATCACCAATATGAACATTGGTGGTGAAGAAGCTAGTGCTGACCGTGTTGCGGCTAGGGAATTTCCTATGCTTTTACGTGAGATTATGGAGGAAGGACAGTACACCGACGACCAGGTGTTTAACATGGACGAATCTGGTCTTTTTTGGAAAAAGCTACCTTCCAAGACCTTCGTTGTGAAGAATGGCAGCAAGATTCGAGGCCGGAATTTGCAGAAGGAGCACATCACCGTCCTGTTTACCACCAATGCCTCCGGTACCTGTAAGCTCAAGTTATCGGTGATCCACACAGCACGCAAGCCGCACGCCTACAAGAACGTGGACATGAGCAAGATTAATGTCTACTGGCTGACCGCACGCAAGGCGTGGATGTTCTCTGCTCTGTCACTCTCCTGGTTTGATGACTGTTTCATTCCAGACGTGAAGAAATTCTGCGAGCAAAAAAATGTTCCATTCATGATTTTGTTGCTCCTTGACAACGCACCAGGACACTCGCCCCTAGTTATGGATCGTCATCCCAACGTAAAAGTGGTCTTCCTTCCTCCCAACACTACGTCATTAATCAAGCCCATGGACCAGGAGTTGATCTGCAATGTTAAAGCTGCATACAATACTCGGCAAAGAAATTCAAGCTCCTGAACGACTGTACCAACACCAAGGATGAGTTGCGTAAGCTGGGTGACACCGACAGCGAGAGTAAAAGCGACGAGGACAAGGAACAAGAGGTGGTGACTCAAGAAGTTCTCGTCAAACAGTTTTGGAAGAAATTTAACGTCAAACAAGCTGTAGACTTCTTGGTGGAGGCATGGGATCAGCTGTCTATAGCTACGATTCGTCACGCATGGAGGCATGTGTTGCATGGCATACCAGGTGAGAGGCGGAGTCAACCTGTGACTGGTGAGGTTCAGTCTGTGACAGTGGCATTGGACCTTGCAAGAGAAGCTGCGCACAGTATTACAGCTGAAGGCTTCTCCGAAAGCACCAACGAAGACATCCTGGAGGTGATCAGAGATCCTGAAATGACTGCCGACGAGATGTTAGAAGATGATCACGCCACTGAAGAGGAAGATGGTGCGTCAATCTCAGAAGAACACAAGTTAACGCATAGTAATATTAAGGGTGCCATCGAGTGTGCAGAGAAATTGAAGCTCTTCCTTTCCAACGACCATGACGATGACCGCAATGAAGTCTTCCATATCCGGCTGGTGCAGGCTATGGAGCCGTACATCAAGGTGTATCAAGACAACATCAACACTAGCTGGCAAAAAAGCATTACCGAGTTCTTCGCCCGCAACCCACCACAGCCAGCCAGAGCCAGTGATAGTGACTTTGAGGGATTTGTCAGGGAAGCCCTGACAACTATAACTGAGAGTGATGGTGATGCACCTAGTACAGGTAGTTCTGCTATAACGCGATAATTGTGTTCTTGTAAAATATCGTGTTATAGAAAATCGCGTAATAGAAATAACAGGGCTTATGGAGAAAATAGGGTTAGGTGCAGATTACTCAAAATCGAAAAAATTTAGCAGTTAGCCTAACACAAAGGATAGCACAGTCTAAATAAATGTTACATTCATATCTAATAATGAAATCATACAGTAAATGTAACACTTTACTTGATGGGGGAGAAGGGTGATTTTGAGGTTGATAAAATCGAGCTTTTCTTCAAGTGTTATATCCTTTCTTTTACGATCATCACCGGGAATTCTATCACCAGAACGCTTCTTGTTGATATTCTTCTTTACTATATTCACAGTTAATACCAGAAAATTGGAGAAATAGTAAGAGAAAATCGCGTTATATCAAACAAGCGTTCGCGTTATACAAATATCGGACCTAATTCATAAATCGCGTTAGAGCAAATTCGTGTTATCAAAACACGCGTTATAGCAGAACTCACTGTAATATATATATATATATATATATATATATATATATATATATATATATATATATATATATATATATATATATATATATATATATATATATATTATTATTATGACCGCTTAACTAACACTCGAAAACGCCTTCGATTAACGAACTGCCTTCCATAAGGATCTTCAATTCGGTTAACGAAAAAAATAACGTTCTTACGAACCGACCTCAACATGTTTTCGCTTGCACTGACTGGGCAACCAGCTTTAGTATCAGTCCGCCAATACATTAATCGGTTCTAGGGCTTAAATTCCTTACTATTTTAGTAAATATCAAGAAGTTTATACTATTCAATAATTTTAAAAGTTTAATATTCAATTTTTTAGTCATTTTAACAATTATTGAATATAATTGAAGGTAAAGTGACTAGTTTAATGCGCGGCATCCTGCCTCTTAACACAGCAAACAGGAGTTAGTCTCTCTCTGTTTTCACTGGAGGTAACATCTTGCTTGAGACTCTCTTCAACTAAACGCTTTTTCCCTGTGTTTCCAAGCAAATTATTGGTCATTTGGAAATATATTTTACATATTGACAATATATAATGCAGTGCAGTGTTGATTTAAAGAAAATAATCTTGAATTACACTAAGAGAGCTAAAATTTTATGGGTGAAATGGCGCCATGGGGTGAATTCTCTTCCACCCCAATGCCTTCTCTTCTTCCTTCTCCTCCACCCCCATTCTAAATCCCATCATCATCATCATCATCATCCAGGAGCCTTCTACATACACACCCCAGAGTAAGTGAACTTTTCTACCATTTTTGTTGAATTTAGGAAATTTTCGGTGAGCTGGAACCAATTACCCAAAAACCCATTGAAACAATGGTTTCGGTTAACGAACTTTTCGGTTAATGAACGACCTTCTGGAACGGATTGAGTTCGTTAATGGAGGGGTCACTGTATATATATACAGTTAACCCTCACTTTACGCGGTCCCACATTCCGCGTTTCCACGTTTACGCGGTGCCCTGCCGGAACCCAGGATGCTCACATTCCGCAGTGCGTGTACCCCTTTACGCGGGAGCGGCTGGCGAGCCGCGCCATTTTTGGATCCAAACCTCCCACCATCCGCCATGTTGTGTAAGCTGCGCGAACATGGTGCGCACAAGGTCGCCCAGTCATCAAAACATTACCAGTTCTTCACCCGCCACCCACCACAGCCGGCCCAAGTCAGTGATAGTGATAATTATGGTGAGATAGTGATAGTGATAATTATGGTGAGGATATGGACTTATATGGACTTTGGGGAGTTTGACAAAGAGGCCCTGCAAGCCTCTGTGGTGGATAGTGATACAAGTGACACAGGTGAGGGCCAATAATCTGCCCTCTGCCTAGGAACCAACCGCCCATCCCCGTGTGCCCAGCCATTTTTTCTACTAATGTAAGTGTTAAAAAACCTAATATTATTGATATTTCTCTTAATTATTAATTGTGTGTGCATACCATCATAAAGTTAAGATAATATTTTTACTACAACATAGTTGTGTGTCGTCAAAAAGTGGAGTTTGGGGATCGGCCCGGACTCCATTTCAATTAATCCCATATGTTATGTTATTCACTTTATGAAATACAGTACAGTAAAAGTAATGAATAATGATGAATGGATACAGTAC